TCAAAGAACATGAACTAGGGCAATTTTTCCTAGCATATTAACAAGTTTTGTATATCTCTGGTTTAAAAGCAACCTTACTAATAATTGGTACGACTGTCAAGCACTACATCACCCTTAATAATATTTTAGTGATGTGTGAAATCTCAAATATATTTTAACATTAATGAATATTGACAATATTAAGACGTACGTAATCGACAACTCCGTCTTGTACATTTCTATCGATTGCCAGCGAAATTCTATGCTTCAAAATCAAGTTACGTATAAACTTCCTAGTTAAAAACACCGCCAAACACGTCACTTGTAACAATAAATATATCTTTTATTTCCATAAATAACAGATCAAATGGAATACTCAGATGAACATCTCAACTTCTTCAGGCTCTGTCACATCGTCTTTGATATCGTCCCTGAAGGTCTGAGAAAGATCTTTAAACAAGAATGGGATGCTTTATACACAACTGCGCATGGTCAGTGGGATGACACGCCTGTCAGTTATGCCTCTTTTTATAGTATGGAGTCACCAGGGAGTCGAACGAGAAACAGACGTCTTCTAAGTTTGATGTCTAATGGAAACAGAGCGAAGTGGGACTGTACAAGTTTGTTTCATGCAATACTGTTCTCAGACAGCGTGGGATCCAACATAAGACCTGTGGTGAAAACTAGTGTGGATGATCTTCGTGAAATTCGTAATGAAGTAGTGGCACACAAAAACGTTGGAAAGCTGAATGATGTGGAGTTTAAAATGTCCATTCAAAAGATCAAAGTAGCACTCTCTTCGTTGAAGCTTGACACAACAAAAATCAAGAAAACAGAAAAACGGGCTGATTTTATAACACAAGAACAAATAAATAAAATCAAAAAAGAGTTAGAAGATGAAAAGCGACGAAATAGAGAACCGAAATCGTTTTGTGTGCTGCCTCCTCAACCTTCTCATGATACTATGGAACGAACTAAAGAGGTTGACGATTTATTCCAAGCGATGCAACAATTATCAATTGAAAAAAATGGAGAGACGACAACTGTTTACTTGTCTGGGAATCCAGGTTCTGGAAAGAGCGTAATGGCAAGACAAGTCGCACAGAAGTACTACGATAGTGATGACTCCAAAGAGACATTAAGATTCGTTGTGACGTTTAATGCTTCTACAATGGACACACTGCTCATCTCATACGTAATGTTTGCTGAGAGATTAAACTGCTATCAAGACTGCATAACGAGCATTACTACATCAAAAGATCTTTCCAAAGAAGAACAAATCCTTCAATTAAAAGCCCTTGCTAATAAACAAGTGACCAAGTATTCATCATGGCTGATTATTGTAGATAATGTTGTCGACCTGAAATCGTTTTCTCAATACTGGCCACAAAGTGGAGAAAAGACAAGTGGCAAGGGACAGATTCTTGTCACCACACAAGATGCTCCCTCCATTAGTGTCAGCTCATACTGCCATCATATATCACTCAGTTCTGGTATGACAGAACACGATGCAATTGAACTACTGCAAAAAATATCAGGCTATAGATCTGAGGACAATAATATCATACTGGAAGTTTCCAGAGCCTTGGACTTCCAGCCACTTGCTTTATCCTCAACAGCCGTTTACATGCGAAGTGTTCGCACCATCAACAAACAGTACTCGTGGCATCAATGCCTGGAGCAGGTTGAGAAGGAACGTGAGAGATTAGAAAAAGCTTATGAGCAAACTAGCTTGACCTACAAATTAACCATGACTGCTGCAGTGAATTTAGCTCTACAGAGAGAAATGAATGATGAGATTATGCTTCATGTATTTCGTTTTCTATCCGTGATTGCACCAGATCCAATCCCTTTGACGTATGTTGTGGAGTACGTGGAAAAGTGCCTGCCTGAAGAAGATAGAAACTTGGTCGCTTTAAAACTTTGTTCTTCATCGTTAGTATTGTCATTGACGCAGGAAGCAAAGGAAATTAGTATCCATCAAGTGGTTTACCACTGTTTACAGACCAACCCAAAGATAACAGAATGCAAGGTGAACATGTTTACTGTGATTTCTGCATTTCATTCACTTCCAAATATGAGTGAGGAAAAAAAACAAGTGGATAATTTGATTGCTACTAGACCACTTTTAAACCACTTAATAAAAATCTCAAAAGGAATTTTTGATTTCGTCATGAATGATATTGAAAGCGAGAAGGGACTCAATGATCAAACAATGCATGTTCTTTATAACTGCTCGAATGTTTTACACAAACACAACATTTTTGAGAACGCACAACATTTATGGCAAGTACTTTTAGCTTTACAAACATCTAAGCCCCCGTCATCAAAGGCACGAGAAATATTGATCTTGTTGAAAGATGACCACATTAAATATATCTCAAGTCTTAATCAAAATGAAATTAATCCATTGGTAAGTAATACCTTGAACAACTTAGGCGTTGTATATAAAGAACTAGGCCAATTACAGGAATCAATGAAGTATTACGAAAAAGCACTGACCATCTACACAGCTGCGTACGGTGAAAACCATACATCGGTAGGTGATACCTTGAACAACTTAGGCGTTGTATATAAAGAACTAGGCCAATTACAGGAATCAATGAAGTATTACGAAAAAGCACTGACCATCTACACAGCTGCGTACGGTGAAAAC